GGTGTGAACGAAAAACAAAACGAAAATGAAACGGGGAAAAGCTGAACCGAGAGATTTCGGAGGCCAAAGACGAAAACGAAGATGAAGGATGACGATAATGTTTATCGAGAGTTTCTTTCAGCTTAGTTGCGTATGGGACCAACCAATGAATGATGAAATTGGACGCAGGTGAACTTTTCGGTTAAATGGGCCCATTAAATAATGGATGGAACCGCGGATGCATCAATTATCATGTGTGGACACCAGTAAATGACCCACATGAAGGGGGAAATGATCTCATTTAAAGAACCCCCTTAACGTAAGCATGGCTTTTAGTAATTTATAGTAAACCCTAACAAAGTTTCAAATCGAACTAAATCCCCCAAATAAGTTTTGGACTTCAATGGAAATCTCTTTGCTTTCCACATGTAACCCCCGAACAACTTTAGTTTTCTCTTTTTTTTATTGTTGCGTGGATTAAAACACCGCAAGCTAAGAAAAGAACCTCCCAATTAAAAATCTACATAACCCCTCAAATATAACTCTCCAAAGCATGACGTTGAAAAAACAATATTTTAGCAAAAATCGCTACCCCCCTGCCCCTTTAAGTGGTGTTTTTAAGAAGTTAAGCGGTATTATGGTCTTTTTAAATAATGTTAATTGCATGTGCCATGTCAGATATCATGGTGTTAAGTTATTTTGGGCTTTTCTGATAATGATATTGGGGTTTAGTGTGATTTTGAAAGTTATGGGGTTTTGGTGTAAAATGTTGAAAGTCCGTGGGAATTTATTGTAATTTACACTAAAATCATATACGAAAAAAATAAAATTTTAAAGTTGTCAAGTTATATTAAAAGTTGGTTATTTTTTGAACTTTATATAAATTCAGTATTTTGTTAATACTAATTTTTTAATTAATTGTATTGCTTTTTTATTTAAACTAAATTTAACTATTTACATCAATTTTAAATTGATATTGAAATGTATAAATTCATTTTCTCAGAGTGATTCTATTGAACAAGGACACATGCCCTGCAATGTATCCCATCTACGACATAAAACAGAATTAAAAATTTAAAAGAATTTCAAAAAATAATTTCTTGATATAAATAATTATATAGTTTTAAGTATTTATATTTTCCATCACATTTTTAAATACAGTTGATCGAATGGGAAAAATCAACATTTCATCATTTTACTACAAATTTCACTTTCCAATAACTTATCAACAATTACAAAAAGCTACATCTTTCAAAGAAAGTAGTAATCAGACATCACTACTGTCAAACAAGTAAATAACTACTATGCTCTAGCACAGTTCTTTTTTTTTAAGCAATTCCAGTGAAACACAGTTCATAAGATAAAAACTCAAAGGTAGAGAGTACTTTTGTAGGGACAATCCATGCTCCCTAAGCCCTCAGGAGTATATTGACCCCTTCTATTTAAGGTAGAGAGTACTTTAGTCCACGGATTTTTCTAGGTTTGACAGGCAAAGAATATTATCACTTCTTAAAATTTTCGAAATCCCATATGCAGCAAAACGATCATATGAAAAGAAATAGATTTACTGTAGCAGATGGATATCTCTAATAAGAAATGGATTTCCAACGTGAAGACATCAAAATTCATTGCAACTATAATCAAAAAAATATTTTTTTTTATTTTCCACCTTCCGTATTTGTATAGTACGAGTTGCAGTATTAATCCTCAAATCATATACTACAGAGAGAATAGATAGAGAGGGGAAAGAACCGAGAAATTATAGCAATTGCGGTAAGTGCTCTACAGGAATAGCTAATATATGAGGAGGAAAACCCATTAATTATGAAAACTAAAAACAATACCTTGTTAATTTTGCATATCCTTGTATACACAGCAAGAAAAAAAAATAACTCATAAAAAGAAGTCTGTTATATGTTATTGCTTTCATGAACCAATAATTATTCAATATTTCTCCTTAAAGATAGTTGAATAATGTTTTGAAGTAGTTTCATTGAACCATAACATGCATGCGAAGCTAAAAAAAATGAGGTACTAGTAACAGGAGTTTCGTTTATCAATTCATTGATTACTTCTAACACGAAATTTGTGGAACAACTACTAAGCTAATAGGCTCATGAAACATTACAGGATTAACTATAGTACCCAAGTAAGGGATTAATTAAACAGCAAAAAGAAAAGGGAAAAAAAAAATTGAGATCACGACTTAGCCTAAGAAGCCAAAAGAAGATTTAGTGATTACCTAGGTCACGCAGTCAGATCAGTGCCTAAATATCACTGAAAAAGAAGGAAAAAAACCCAAACAAAATTAATGTCAATTCCTAAAATGATAAGGAAAAAACTTCACGAAAAGGGAAAAGACTTTGAAATTATAGAGAAGAGCACATCTGTCCGGCAGATTTCGGCGGCAGCCGATCAGGAAATAAAGAAAGAAGAAAAAAGAAAATCAAAAGAGGAGGAGAATGTGTCACCGGCAGAGAGGCGTTCGTGGTGGTGGAGGCGCTGAAGGCAGGTGCAGCTCGTGGAGTGCCTTCGAGATTGGCAGAGTTGGAATGAATAGAGAGAGAGAGAGATCCAATGAAGAGGAATGAAGAAGAGGAGAAAACTTCACGAAGAAGGAAATTAAAGAGGGGTGCTTCGGTAGTGCTCCGAAATTAAGCACTTTTCTCATTTTTAAATAGTAGAAATTTCGAAAAATAGGCTGGAAAATGGGAAGGATAATAATGTACTTTTCTCTACTATCTTCAAACCTATTATATTGTAAACATTATGGTAACCTATTTGTGTTATTATATTGTAAACATTATTACTGAGTTAAAAATAACTATTTTTACCAAGAACTGTGTATTATGTTAATATTTTTGGAATAATATAAGAATTAATTAATTAAAATATTCTGTCAAATGACTCATAATTCAGAATATATTGTTTTAATAAAATATCAAATTATTCCCCTCTAAGTTTTTAGTAAGTACACTGCAAAATATAATTTCTGTTATTTATTAATTATTTTAATAAAATATAAATATAAATATATAATGTAATATGTTTTTAATAAAATATAGAATTTATAAAGAGTTCAAATATAATTATCATCTTGTGGTGTAAAGGGGGCAAGCATTGAGAAATTAATAAGCTTGTTGCTTTCTCTTTGTTGAGCTAAAGGTTAATTGCTCAAAATTTGGAAACGCTAAGTATCAGAAAACCCCTTAACTTTGGACCATTGTCAAATAACCCCCTACCATTAGATGATTATTAGTTAAAACCCACTACCTTTTAAAATTCAGAAAACCCCTTAAATTTAGGGATCATTAATTATAAAACACACTTTAACATTAGTATTTTATTGAAAAAAAACTTCAACAGTGCAAATTTTCACATGGGTGGGTAAAATTATGCAGATAGATAGTGTCTCCGGTGAAAATTGAGGTTCGAACTTTTAGGAGGGTTTTCTAATAAAGTCTTTGAAAGTTAAAAGGGGTTTTTGACAACCCCTAAGAAATAGGAAAAAAAATCATGAAATCAGAAACTCAGTGTTTAGAATTATTGTCGGTTCAATGTAATCCAAGTCCTTCTCATCATGAGAAAAATGCAACACTAAATGAAAACATCCTCCATGGCCAAACTTGAGAATTATGGAGAGGGCATAGTTAAGACAATTTTTCTTACAAACCCTAAAGCTAAGCGAAGTTTCTGATAGAAAGTTATGAGCTGAAAAACATCCAAAGTTTAGAGAGTTTTCTGATAATTACACTTTTTTGAAATTAAATGGTATTTAAGTATTGTTTGGCTAAATATTAAAGATGTAAGAGATTAATATAGAAAAAGCTCAATAAAGCTAGCACGTTACTGTTATACATGAGCCCGTGAATGTCATTTTCATTTTTTTGTGGGCAACAACAGTCAAGCGGCTAAGCTTTCATGAGAAAGTAATGAGCATGTTCCTTTCTCTCTTTTTAGTAAAATGTTAACGGGTTCACAACTAGCTGGTGGTCCAAATGAATTTTCCAACTAAAGAAAATGTTTCCTTGTGCAATTTTACACACCCATGTGAAAATTTTCGACTAATGCAGTTAGAGAAATTTTTTTTATAAAATCTTAAAGTTAAAGGAATTTTCTATAATATTCCTTAAGATCTTTAAAAAAAATGGTTTGGGGTGGGGGTTCTAATATGCAAAAACCTATAGGTTCATATTCATCCAAAGTTAATGTATTTCCTAATATTTAGCCTATAATATATTTGAAAGAGATAGGTAGGATAAGTTATCCCAATTGTATGACAAACACAACATATTTATGGGTTGTTAATGTTGTTAAAGTGCGAAGAGTGTTATAATATTTTTTTTAAATTGCCGCTCAAAATGCATCTATAATCACTAAAATATCCTCATTCAAATTCTCAATTACTTCATACATGTGAATGTGGGAGCCCACCCACGTGTTCACACGTTTTGCAAAAACGCTTGAACGAGACCATGGAGAACTAAAATAGGATACGTAGGCCCTGAAGAGTAATGATAGAACAGCTAGCGGTCCCTGAACCGAGCTGACCTTTTTCTAATCTAGGCCGACAAAAGAATTTTTTTTTTTTTTTCCCATAACACATTTGGAATAGTGCAGATTCCTTTGTCTTTGTATGTAGGTGCAACCGTGCAAGCCACATAAAATCATATATTCATGCAAGGAACACGGACCAAAGTCACTGTCATTGTTCATATATATGCATATGGGTCAGGGTCCTCGAAAGTGCTATAGAGATGTATAGAGAATCAATCCACTTTCTACAATGTGGGGATATTTAACCTATATCCATCAATTTAAACAGTATCCCATCCAACACTCCAAAGAATATAGCCAAATGGTAAAAGAAGTAAAAAAAATATTATGAAATTTATTCACTTATAATACAAAACGAAATTAAAATTTATTCACTTATAAAATAGGTAAATGGTAAAAAAAAGCTACTGCTGGTGCATGTTTTTATTATATTTGGATTGCTAAATTTGCTGCTGCGTTCCAAAGGAAAAACCCAATTGTGAAGGAATGCTTACAGCGGAATGAAGAAGAGGAGAAAACTGCAGGAAGAAGGAAAGAGGGGTGCTTCGGTAGTGCTCCGAAATTAAGCACTTTTCTAATTTTCAAATAGTAGAAAATTAGAAAAATAGGCTGGAAAATGGGAAGGATAATAATGTAATTTTTGTTGGGAAAGATTGAGAAATCCCAGGATAATTTCCCCAACTACAGAGAGAATAGATAGAGAGGGGAAAGAACAGAAAAATTATAGCAATTGCGGTAAGTGCTTCACAGGAACAGCTAATATATGAGGAGGTAAACCCATTAATCAGGAAATAAAGAAAGAAGAAAAAAGAAAATCAAAAGAGGAGGAGAATGTGTCACCGGCAGAGAGGCGTTCGTGGTGGTGGAGGCGCTGAAGGCAGGTGCAGCTCGTGGAGTGCCTTCGAGATTGGCAGAGTTGGAATGAATAGAGAGAGAGAGAGATCCAATGAAGAGGAATGAAGAAGAGGAGAAAACTTCACGAAGAAGGAAATTAAAGAGGGGTGCTTCGGTAGTGCTCCGAAATTAAGCACTTTTCTCATTTTTAAATAGTAGAAATTTCGAAAAATAGGCTGGAAAATGGGAAGGATAATAATGTACTTTTCTCTACTATCTTCAAACCTATTATATTGTAAACATTATGGTAACCTATTTGTGTTATTATATTGTAAACATTATTACTGAGTTAAAAATAACTATTTTTACCAAGAACTGTGTATTATGTTAATATTTTTGGAATAATATAAGAATTAATTAATTAAAATATTCTGTCAAATGACTCATAATTCAGAATATATTGTTTTAATAAAATATCAAATTATTCCCCTCTAAGTTTTTAGTAAGTACACTGCAAAATATAATTTCTGTTATTTATTAATTATTTTAATAAAATATAAATATAAATTTATAATGTAATATGTTTTTAATAAAATATAGAATTTATAAAGAGTTCAAATATAATTATCATCTTGTGGTGTAAAGTGGGCAAGCATTGAGAAAGTAATAAGCTTGTTGCTTTCTCTTTGTTGAGCAAAAGGTTAATTGCTCAAAATTTGGAAACGCTAATTATCAGAAAACCCCTTAACTTTGGGCCATTGTCAAATAACCCCCTACCATTAGATGATTATTAGTTAAAACCCACTACCTTTTAAAATTCAGAAAACCCCTTAAATTTAGGGATCATTAATTATAAAACACACTTTAACATTAGTATTTTATAGAAAAAACTTTAACAGTGCAAATTTTCACATGGGTGGGTAAAATTATACAGATAGATAGTGTCTCCAGTGAAAATTATGGTTCGAACTTTTAGGAGGGTTTTCTAATAAAGTCTTTGAAAGTTAAAAGGGGTTTTCAGATAACCTCTAAGAAATAGGGGGAAAAAATCATGAAATCAGAAACTCAGTGTTTAGAATTATTGTCGGTTCAATGTAATCCAAGACTTTCTCATCATGAGAAAAATGCAACACTAAATGAAAACATCCTCCATGGCCAAACTTGAGAATTATGGAGAGGGCATAGTTAAGACAATTTTTCTTACAAACCCTAAAGCTAAGCGAAGTTTCTGATAGAAAGTTATGAGCTGAAAATCATCCAAAGTTGAGAGAGTTTTCTCATATTTACACTTTTTTGAAATTAAATAGTATTTAAGTATTGTTTGGCTAAATATTAAAGATGTAAGAGATTAATATAGAAAAAGCTCAATAAAGCTACTGTTATATTTGAGCCCGTGAGTGTCATTTCATTTTTTTGCGGGCAACAGCCAAGCGGCTAAGCTTTGAGAAAGTAATTAGTAAAAGGTTAATGGGTTCACAATTGGTTCGTCCAAATGAATTTTCCAACTAAAGAAAATGTTTCGTTGTGCAATTTTACACACCCATGTGAAAATTTTCGACTAATGTAGTTAGAGAATTTTTTTTATAAAATCTTAAAGTTAAAGGAATTTTTTTAATATTCCTTAAGATCTTTTAAAAAAATGGTTTGGGGTGGGGGTTCTAATATGCAAAAACCTAAAGGTTCATATTCATCCAAAGTTAATGTATTTCCTAATATTTAGCCTATAATATATTTGAAAGAGATAGGTAGGTTCATATTCATCCAAAGTTAATGTATTTCCTAATATTTAGCCTATAATATATTTGAAAGAGATAGGTAGGATAAGTTATCCCAATTGTATGTGTATTTCCTAATATTTAGCCTATAATATATTTGAAAGAGATAGGTAGGATAAGTTATCCCAATTGTATGTCAAACACAACATATTTATGGGTTGTTAATGTTGTTGATACTCGGAGCCATATAGGGCACAATATTGCCATAGACCCCTCATCTATTATTATTCTAAAAGTGCGAAGAGTGTTATAATATTTTTCCAAAATTGCCGCTCAAAATGCATCTATAATCACTAAAATATCATCATTCAAAATTCTCAATTACTTCATACAAAACAACTATGTCTATTTGACTTCCTACGAGCTTTCTAATTTTTCAATTAAAAAATTAATATGAACATTCCATTATCTTCGAATGTTACATTGGTGGATCGGACTTATAAAATTTACCATGATATTACGAGATCAATTGAAAGCTTTAAGAATAAGGGAAATTTAAAGAAAACTAACACTTTCATAGAAGACTTTCCCTTCTCTCGTTATCCAACGACAGATCAAAATAACATGCCTATTCGGTAACATTTTAGCTTGATTTTATTACGATAGACTCGCTTGTGAAGACGATGTGA